GCCCTCCTAAAACCATATCTTAAAATGTAATAATAAATATAACCCATTCTAAATATCTCCATGGAACAGAACAAATTGCTACTGTTTTATGATTAATTTGTGTTATATGTTTTTATTACGATAGGAGAGCATCCATTGCCAGTTCTGTTATGTCTGAACATATAGATGCCATAGATCCATTACCTGAGATCGAAGACGATGAAGAATACTCAGAGGTAAGAATGTAGTCTTCAGCCTACCAAATTCAAACCAGGGAAACTGTGGGTATAATCCCTGTAAGCAGACTCCATCAGCAGTGGAAAAATGTGATTGGACACTGTAAAATCAGGAAGGCTGTGCATTCTGGGGTCAGCACTTTGGTTGTGAGAGCTATGTTTTGTTATTTCCAAGGACATGATTGGCCTTTCTTTCTAAATGGGTCTTCATTTATGTTCATTTAAGTTTCTCGTATAAGGCAATGTCTGCAAACTAATTCTTCACCAGTATTGCAGTCTTCACATCTGACTTTAAATATAAACAGTATTTGTTATGGATACTGAAAATACTGCTATTATCTGGGTAACTATCCTGACACCAGCCAGATAACTCATTTCAACATATTGATGGATAACACTAAAACCTTCTTTTTTATGGGTATTTTTGCCTTAAAATGTAATGATAACTATTACACTGTTGTACTTGTAGGAAGTTGGTGAGGAGATTGAAGGTTAACCCGATCCATTGACCTTGCTGAAGATCAACCATCACCATTTGATCTATGTAGACGAGGAGCTCTCTATAGAAAGGTTAGTTTTCGTCTCATTTTTTTTTTTCATTTGCCTAAATCACTGCAGTTGATCTTTTTCATGTAAACAAACAATGTAGTTGAATACATGCCTGCATGTTGCATGGGACTCATATCTAACATAGCACAGTGGAACAACTTTGGCGAGCGGATTTCATTTTGAACTGAATTCCCAAATTGGACCAATCTGTACACATATGACAACTGATAATATTGTCACTGAACTTCAAGATTATTTTGAATTGTAGCATTTACTGTTCTTCTACTACTACTACTACTTCTACTACTACCGGTACTACTGGATATTAAATTATCAAATTATTATATTATAATTATTAAATAAATTATTATATTATTATTATTAAATTGTCGTTTGTGAAATACTTTTTTTTCTTCTATGCTGTGTATACTGTAGGTAGCACTCTTCAATGTACTTGATTACTGATGTTGTCTGTATTTTAGATTGGACAGTTGAGATTAGCCTGGGCAGATCTTGATGAAGCCATTGCTTTAGAACCTCAGTTATTGGATGCTTACTGGCATAGACATCTCCTGTTTTTACTGAAAAATAAACCTAAGAAAGCATTAGATGACTTGAATGCAGTGTTGAAACTCAACAAGCAGCATGCCGGAGCATATAGATCCAGGTAAGTCTTTTTGTCGGCCACTGGTAGCATAGTGCTGATTGCATCAGACTCATGATCAGTAGAGTTCAAATCCTATCTTAGGGTGAATAACAATAAGGGTCGACCCTTACCCTGGGTGAGTGTGCCACAGATCAATGGGAAGGCCAGTTTCCCTGGCTGAGATTCATTCACTAATGAATACGACTTTGGGAGAACCTTGGTTACGGTGCTTGTGTTTTGTTGAGCCAGGATAGCGCATTAAATTTCCATTTAATAGATGGTCGCACAGCCCTGTCATGTAGTTCCAAACATGAATATGCCTGCGTTTAGCACTAACACTTGCAATTTTGAAAAAAATAAAGTCAGGAGAAAAAAATGTCTTTGTGTCATTTACTCTAACCTATCTATGAGGTGTAATTCAAATTATAAAATCAATAACTTCACTATGTGTGATAGCAGCCAAAAATGATGTTCTTTTACCCCATATTCAGGCTTTCAGACAATATATAGTTTGCTAGAGTTACAGCATGAAATGTATAGAATATTTAATCTGCTATCTTTTGTAAATTTACATATCTCATAATTAGCTATGCCAGCAATAAGATTTACCATGATAGTAAAAACAGCGTTTTGGTGTGTTCAATCACAAGACACTGTGGCTGAAGGTATTTTATTTGC